GCATACAAAAAAGGTAAAGGAATAATAATTTTTAGGAAGGAAGGAAGGAAGGGAGGGAGGGAGGGAGGGAGGAAGGAAGGAAGATACCTTAAAAGTGCACATGGACTTTTGCTTGATTTATCTTTGCAAAAAGAAATACTGTTTGGGAAAAAGGGCATGAGGAACAGCAAACATTTAACCCAACCCAGCGTGTGCTTGTGGGGTTGAGAGTTAAAGCTATTCTGTAAACAATATTTGAACTGATTTTTTTTTTTCTTTATTCCCACCTCTGAAAGCTGGCTCTGTCCACCTGTGTTTTGTCCTCTTGCCAAGCACAAAATACAATTCAGCCTTCTGGTGTGTGGACTTCCCAGAATTCTCAGCAATACACGACAGGGAATTCTGGGAATTGAAATGGACACATCTGAAAGCTGTCTGAGGTGGTGAAGGTTCTGTACCCCTCCCCTCCCACCACCAGTCTTATTTCCCCCTTGACTACCTCCACATCTATATCTCCTTTTACCAGGCAAGATCCAAAAGACATATTCCATTTCCCTTCCCACCCCTCCACGTTCTTTCACATGTTCTAATTTTCAAAAAAAAAAGGTTGATATAAACAATTAGTCGTTTGAAAAAAGCTGTGTTCTTTTTTTGTTGTTGTTGGTGGTTTGTTTTGGAGGGAAAGGAAGCGTGTATGTGGGGGCAGTGAATGCATGACGACTCCCACCCACCCAGTGGCTATGAGAAAATGTGGATAGCTTGTGTGGCTGGCGCGTGGCAGGCCGGGCACTCTGGCTCAACTCGGCCACAGATGCGCATGGCACACTCCATGCAGAAGAGGTTATGGCCACAGGGCACGAGGGCGGCAATCACTTCGCTCTCAAAACACACCATGCACTCGCGGGAATTCTTGCGGGCCCTTTCGGAACTGTTGGAATCAGTTGGGGAGCCTGAAGTGGCAGAAATGCTGCTTGGTAAAGGTGAAGAGGATGAGTACCCGGTGCTGTTGGAGAAAGATGATATGGAGCCTTGGGCCGGTAGCCAGGACAGGGCACTGACTGGATCACTCTGGATGCACCGGGCCAAAGGATGCTCCAGAGCCACACCAGGCTCTGGAAGGGTTGGTGAATGCCGAGGCGTTGCGGTGGTACTGAGCGTACTGTTGCGTCTCTGGGCATTGCCATTCATAGAGGAGGTGGAAGAACTGCTGAAGACCTGGAGTGGGTTGTTGGGGGTCTCAAATGGGGACCAGATGGTGGTTGGTGTGGTGAGGTCCAAGGCCAAGAAGTCAAACCCAAAATCACCATCATCAGAGCCCAGTCCAGGGGCTGGGGGTTCACTGAAAGAGTAGCTGTTGTTGCTGGAAACAAAGGAGCCAGTGGGGGGGCTTTCGGCCACATGGCCCCCGAAGTATGGCTCTGTTGCCGAGGTAGCACTACCCGAGGAACCAAGGCTATCATTGCGCAAGCTGGGTAAAGTCCGGCGGGCAGGGTGAGGCGCTTTTGACCACAGGCTGGATGGATTGCCACCCATCAAGTCGAGGCAAACATCAGTGCCGTTGGAATGAAAGTCATTGTTGACGTTGATGTCGATGAAGGAGCCCGTCCTCATGGTGATGTGAGCCTCTATCTCCTCCCGAGCCCGGTCCACATTCTCCGGCATGCCTGTCACCTCAAAGACTGGTTCCTTGTCCCGACTCGGGGTCACAATGTAGGTGTGCGTCTGTTGCTGGATTCGTTTGATGGTGGCTCCCTTTGGGCCAACCACCAGCCCAACCACACGATAAGGGACCCGCACTTGAATGGTGGTCTGCCCAGGGAGGTTCGGAGGACCCAGAACAGAGCCAGCCATACCATTGACTTTGTTGCGAGTGGCCCGGATTACGGAGAAGTGTTCAGCAGCCGAAAGGATCTCTCGCTTGGCCATCTCCACATCCTCTTTCCGCCCTGTCACGATAAAAATGGGTTCCTCTCCTCTCACTGGTGTCTTTATATAAGTGTTAGTTTTTGCTCTCAGGGCTTTGATCTTGCAGCCTAAAAGACAGAAATATCGAAGACGAGAAGAACAAAAGGGACATGTTAGCTAGCAGAGAACCCTATTTATAAATCTTATTCTTGGTTAGAAATATATCACTGCATAAGAAATTGCACACAGCCCTGCCAAAAAACAGCTTTCCATAACAACAAGTAGAATTTCTATGCCTAAGGTCAGCTTCCCCCAGTCTGGTCCTTTCAGATGTATTGCACCTCCAACTCCCAGATTCCCCCCCACAAGGAACCCTGGAGGTCACATTTCTCCCTGTCCCAGAGCACTCCATTTGTGGCTATTACAAACCCCTGGGTAGATGGGACCAAATCTTCCTACTCTGTCTAGTATTTTAGAATGACTGAGTAGGTTATGGGCAAAATAGATTTTTAAGGCATTTCTTAAAAACCCCAAATTCCACCCCCCCCAATCCTATTATTCCCACAGGGGGAGGAATTAAGGAGCAAAATGTTCCACTTCTTCTTAAGGCATCCATTTGGTTCCTCCAAAGCTCCATAAACCTCTGGGGGGTGGGGGGAGGTCAAGCTACGATTTCAGGTGAGGGGAGAAAGACACCGTCTTCTCAGTTGCAGCTCCCACCTGGGGAAGCACCTGGTATTCCCCTCCCACCCGCCCCAGTTTCGAAGCTGCTCATCTTTGAAACTAGTCGGGGGTTCTTTCCAAGGTGATGGTTCTTTTACAGCTTTCAAAATGGGCCCTAGGTGACTTACAAAGCAAATGGCTGTCTCTGGCCATCGTTTCCCGATTGGCCATCATGTCCCTGGCAGAGCATCACTCTGGAGCAGGATGGGACATTTACTTGCTAGCTCAGCCTAAACATCTGGTATCTCTTGGAGAACCAGGCAGAATTATTATAATTCTCCCCAGTCATTTCCCCTTAACAACACAGCCAGAAAGACTGCTCCTGACCATGCAGCTCCATCTCAAACTTTTTGTTAAAACACTCATCCTGAAGATCAGGATGACACAATTCATTTTTTTCTTTGTATCTCCTGTGGAACCCATGCCATGCCCACCTAGTCTAGTGGCCCATTGCGTGACTCCATGAAGTCCAGAAGCAGGCCACAAAAATGGGGGGAGCCCCATTGAACCTTTGTCTCTGCCAGCAAAGCATCATAGATATTTCCTCCTAAGATGGCCGTCCAGGAAGGTGGGATGGTTAGCAATGTAGCTTTTCGTATACCTAAAATTTATCATGTTTCCCATAACTGAATCTTCTTCTGAACGAGGAGGAGAAGTTGAGTATAACTCACAACCCACTAGAAATCTTAGGCAGTAGCTTCTCTGCCTCCAGAGATCTGATGTCCTATTGGCCAAATACTCTATTTTTCAAGTACTTCTTTTTGAAACAGCAGGGGCTAGAAACTTTTTGTTCCATTTTAACAGAAGGACAGATTCTTAGGGAAGGGAAGTGTGTGCTCGTTGCTGAATATCCTAACTTTCTGAAGAACTCAGGCTTCCACACAGGCTCTGAAACCAGAGGGAAATACAAATGCAAAAATGTTAATGTTGGTTGTATGGAACAGGGTGAAGAATCTGGGCCCCTATAGATTTATTCAATTTACTTATTTAAAAGATTTATACAGCCACCCATCTTAAGCAACTCTGGGCGGCTCACAACGACAGATGCTGTTAAACTGCAGCTTTAATGATCGTAGCCGGTGGGAAGAATGTTGGGAGTTCAGCAACGTGCAGATCCACGTGTTCCCACCCCTATAGAAACTAGATTTTTATTTGATTTAAAGCTCATTTTTAAAAGATTCCTGGAGGGTTCAAGGAAGCCTCTCTGCTCACAAATGTGCTGCCTCTCTTTCTCCCTGGAATACAGACTGCAGATGAGCATGGATGATTTTTACAGAATCTACCTTTTCTTGCCCCCTTCCCCCATACCTGTTTGGAATTATTTATCTTTAGAGCTCTTTTTGAGCATTTGGCAATAGGAAAGAATGGAGTTGGATTTTAGAACCGTGACCCAGGCAAGTTGGTGGAGCTGTTTTGAGAAAAACAGAAATCTAGCTTACAGAGATCAGACCAACTGGTAAGATACCTCAAGGAAATTTGGAAGAGGTTAGGAAGAAAATCCTTGTTCTGCTTTGCTGTTAGTTAGTCTTTGGGATCTGGCATTGAGAGGTATATTGCTCCTGTACACAGAAGCTCCACTTGACTGTCAATACAACGAATATTTATTGCTCATAAAGAACGCAAAGGCACCCGCATGAAGCGCTAAGCCTCCCAATGTTCATTTATCCTAAGAAGCGCAGCTAAAACAAAACGGTTATAAAATGCACAAAGGGCACTTTTCACCTATTCAAATCGGAGAAAATGCTTTTGCAATCACTAATGTGACCAAAAGCCTCTTTATCCTCATATTCTGCCTTCACAAAGCAAACTGGGAACCTCAGGAGGAAACAGGACGCGCATTCCACTATCCTGCTGATATACCCCATCGACTTAGACTCTCCTGTGCTGCCTCTTCTATGGGAAACAACAGGTAATCAGCACAGGAAGTAGCTGCTGATACCAAATTGGTCCGGCCCCCTCTTAACACTATTCAAGTTGGCATCCATTGCTCCATATTGTGTAAATGAATTCCAAAGTTCCTGCAAACTCCTCCTTTTTATCTGCCTCTAATCATACATCATTCTGCTTCGCTGGATCACCCTAATGGATCCCATGATTTATAATATGCTTATTTGATTTGTTTACTTATCACCTGGTTCATTTCTATTTGACGTTTTCCTCTCTTCTGAATCAATTGCCCAATATTTTATTGGTGGGGATGGGGGGAAGAACGTTATATGGTCTGCCTTAATAAACAAAGTGACTCTCCTCGCACTGCCTCGATGAATCCATGGATTAGGTCTCTCTGATCTTTGCTCTGTCCATCTCCAAGAAAGCTACATGCAAAAAAAATATGTACGCCAGAAAAAAACGTGTACAAAACTAAACTGCCATTTTTCGGGAGACTGAAGAGAAAACCGGGCAGAGGAGACTTATGACTGAATACATACAACACGGACAAGGGCCAGGAAGTTGTTGCCCTCCCTAACTGGATGATCCTCAGGACAATCTTATGGAAAAGGAAATTTGCTCTTAGCCATGGTATAGAAGGCACCGAAGGAAAAAAAGGCACACAATTTATGGAAAGCATAGCTGCAAAAGGCTAATTGTCCAGTTTCCTTTTTTTTCAGTCAACGGTCTGAAATGCTCTAACTGGCTTTCTGGGGATGATTCCACAGGCAATTCCTGTATTTAGACAAGCATGGAAGGATTCTCTGTGCAATGTCTTGACATGCATACCTTCCAGAGCAGCTCACACACGTGTAATTAAAAGCAAAGCACTTCTTGGCTGGAATTTCCCTCCCCTTCTGCCACGGAATTAAATTCCCAAGCAGATCGGTTAAATTCTAACAAAGTGAATTATTCCTCACCCCAGAAACCCAATTCATAGAAATGTGACTTGACTGGGTGGGTCTGGCCAACACCTGGTGAGAAAGACAGCTGGGAACTCACAGTTGAACAGCAAAGCGTTTTCTTTGCTTGTGAAGGTCCTGGGTTCAATTCCTGGAATCTTCAAGTAGGAGCCAAAAGCACCAAGGCGGCATAATCCTTTGTCCTGCAAAAGCACTTGGCTTTTCTACCTCGCAAAGATCCAGGGATACCAAAAAATCAAGGAAGAGTTTGGAGTGTGATCTTTTAGAGGGAATGCAGAAGGCTAAATCTTTTATTGACCCACAGACCATTCATTCATTTCAATCCAATCAATGGCTTTATTCACCATCATGCAGTCCATTAATGAACTTAAGCAAGGCAATTGATGGCTCTGTTGGAGTTCAGTGGCAAAGAGGTACAGTGCTGAGGGCCACAGCCTGTTGGCAGCACATGGGTTGGAGGGCACTCTCACAAAATGGCTGCCATGGAGGGCCTGGCCAATCCCAAAGCCCCTCTTGAAATGGAGACATTACTATCTACCACCCCTTCTGGTCTCTGAGGATGCTCTCTGGCATTTTTGTCTTATTTTTGGCCAGATGGGCACAGAGCCCAACCAGGAATGGGGCTGCAGCCACTCTCACAATTTTATCTTCTAAGAATGCCTCTGTCCTCCATGGGGCCCTCTGGTCCTTGAAAATAATGTCTGGTGCTTGGCTTTGTACATTCTAGCCTTCCAGACATCCTTGCTGCCTACAGGTGCCGTGTACCCTGTGGGCAGCACAGGGTCATGGCTGTGGTATTACATAGCATTCCCTGGGCATCTCTATTTAGCCCCCGAAGGATAGATAGGGAACACTGCAAGGGAAGAGTCTCCAAGACTCAATCCCACCAGTCAGTCCAGAAGGACATCACAATCCACTGGACTAAAAATCCTCAAGAGATCCAGGAGAAAGAACAAGAATGGATCCTTCCTCCATGACGTTCTTAGAGGAGACAACCCCCCAAAGTGAGCAAAGCAGGCGCACTTCTATTATTTTGCCTGACTTAAATGGGTTCAGATCCAGTCCTGGAAGGCCTTTTCAACTACCTGGGCTGAAAATGATAAAAAATGGATCATTATACAGAAGATGCTTCATCCTTTCCAACAGTAGCCTTTTTTGGGCTGGCATGGGACATTTAGGCCCTTCAGATGACAAAATGCAAGGTGCCATCTTTAAAAATAAAAAAACCAAAGAGAGAAAAGTGATGGTAAAATAATGTTTGGCTCAACACCTGTCCTGCAGATGAAATATTAGGAGGCATCAGCCTTTTTTTCTCCCTAACTGCCTCTCTTTAAGAACAAAGCACGTTGGCTGAACAAACTTGGAGAATCTGGGCTCATAACTGAAGTGAAATTTGAATTTTAAGTCACAAAGAAAGTATGATGGAATCATGTTCCATGATGAGAACTAGAAACCTGAAGCTGAATAGAGGATCTATGTGCATTTTGAAGACAGAAGAGTAAACAGAAGAATGTGCTGTTGTACACAAAACTCAGCTACCTGAGAAATCTTTTGCCTAAAAAATATATACAAGGAAATGCAACAGCTGTATTGTTTATTTGTTTAAATGGTATGTTTTGCACTGCACAACTAAACTTTATTTACCAGATAATGAACCAACTTCTTGTTCTACCAAACTTTTTGTTGGATGTGTGCCAGCAAAAATTTTAAAAAAAGAGATGCCGGTGCATGACAAAACATATTTTTGATGGAATTGCATAAGAGTTCCTAAATATTTCTACCTTCTGAGGCAATATTGCTCTAATCAAAATCTATTTGCTTACCATCACTGTTTACAAGCAGCATAAACCTCTGGATCATGCAAGACTGGATCTGATTTTTTTAAAAAGATATATCTGAGCAAACATGAGTGTGTTTTGATCCACCACTAACCAATCACCCTCTGTGTGCTAGAGATAGTAAGGAGGTTTACCCAGTTGGAAAGTATAAACCTCACACTGCCTTCTTTAGAAATTAAACCCTGATTTCAGAAGCAGAAAAAAAGTTGGAAGGGGAGCTGTATGGCCTAATATAAATTGGGAGTGGCCAAATAGTGGTGGGAGGGGAAGGGGGGGTAATTCCAGAATTATCCAATAGGATACAAGGAGTGTGATGTCACCGCGCTCAACACAGCATGGTCTCAGCTAACAAAGCGAACAATAGGGCAGATATCTGCCCCATTGACAAGGGGAAAAGACTGATACAGATCCAAAAATTAAAAACTTTAAAAATACAAAAATGTTATACAGCAACTTAGGCCAGTTATAAATGGAAAGGTGGAGTAAATCTTATTCAGATGCTTGAGGAAAGCCTTCAAATGTACCAGGTTTCATTGCTTGAAGAAGGAAGGGTACATTTTCATACCATATATTTTGGCATTTATTATGGTAGCTTTCAGATACAAAACTAGCAAATGAAGAAAGGGGACCCTCGGTTTAAGATTTGGCCCACCATACACTGCACGGCCAGTCTTTGCCACCTGAAACCTGCTTGCTTCCTTTGTACCTTCGCTGCTAAGAAAAATGGGTTTTATAAATCAAAATTTAAAAATGTATAGAAAGAAGGCAAGAACATGAATAATCAGAAATATGCTGAGTGAGCAATTCACAAAAGGGTCCAAAAAGAAGTGGGACCTGAAAAACGGGGCACAGATTACACCCATTTTGCATGGATTCCCAAAGGTGGATCGAGTTTGCCAACTTCTCACAGCCATTCCATCCAGAAAGCACGACAAACACCCAGACTTGCCCTCAAATGAATCTCCCCAATGTGCGTGGCACCTTGTCTTTTCAAAACAAGGATGATCTTTCAATACAATTTATAAAGATGCTCACTCGGTTCTCCCACAACAAGGGAAAGTAGGTGGAAATGGAATATTATTTTTTCTGGAATAATTTTTCCAACTGTAAATGTCGAAAGTTTTTTACGTTCCTTCCTTCCTTCCTCTCCACGTTTCTATGCCACAAAAGAACAAAGAAGCTTTTAAAGTCTCCCAAAAGCCAATGGAACAGGCCCAGAAATTAGGCGTTCCTTGGCTTTCTGGATTTCAGTAAAGTTTGAATAAGGGAAGAGAAACACAAAGCCAAATATGGCTGGATTTAGCCACACAAAAGCTGGAAAAGTTGGTACTGGGGCCCAGGGAGGTTAAGTCCCTCAATTTCCACATTTATGAAGCTACATCTGGGGGAAAATGCAGCATTTTTTAATGCTTACATAAAACAACTCAGACTGGGGTCTCCACAAATATTTGTTCTCTACATATGGTCACCCCCCTACCAAAGTTTCGTTCTTTAAAAAAAATGACCAGCAGTTTGCTTAATTTCCCCCAAACATGGTACTACGGATACTGCTTCAAAAAAATAAAAGCAAGCCCTTTTCACCCCAAAATAAATTAAATAGAGACAAGTCCATTTTTAGCAACCCTCCCAAGAATTTTAGAAAGCTGTGTAGGAGATTGCTGAGTAATTGGGGAGGGGGGGAGAGAATCTAGGTGCAGGTGGGGGGCGAAACCTAAGGATGGTGGACCCGCCCTTTCAGGCCGATGGGGTAACTTTAGGGGGCCGGGGGCAAGGCCGGGCAACTATGATCTCTTCTTCATCCTCTTAAGGTTTTACCTTGGCGGCCCACGATTTCTGCCACATGTTCCGAACTGGGCACCGAGACGCACTCGGTCATGTTGACGCTCTTCTTGCGGCTGCCGATGATGCCCAGCGGCCCGGCCAGCAGGGGGTGCTGTGGCGGAGGGGGGTGTCCCAGGTGGGGCGGGAAGGCCCCGAGGATCTCCACGGGGGAGCCGGAGTTGGAGGCAGGCGGGCTGCCCTCGGAGTCCAGCAGCACCAGGCCCCCACCTGCGGGCGGCGCTGCTGCCAGGGGGGGCACCCCATGGTAGCTGAAGGGGTCCAGCCCTCCCGGAT